TGAGCCACACCCCAGCCCCTCACTAGGGGATTCTAGGCAGGTGCTCTACCACTGAGCCACACCCCAGCCCCTCACTGGGGGATTCTAGGCAGGTGTTCTATTGCTGAACCATGCCTCCAGCCCTTCATTGGGGGATTTAGACAGACACTTTGTCATGGATCTAATCCCCCGTGGGTTTTGTTGTTTAGATTAGTGTGTGTGTGTGTGTGTGTGTGTGTGTGTGTGTGTGTGTGTGTGTCCCTGACATTGGAGTTATGGGGTATTGTGAACTGCCAGACATGGATCCTGGGAACAAGACTTGGTCCTCTCTAAGAGCAGCAAGTGCTTTTAACCCACGAACCATCTCTCCAGCTTCCAGCTGCGCTGGCCCCACCTCCCAAGCCACACATCTGAGTTTAGTGCCCGTGTCTTTGTCCAGTCTGCAGTCCAGCACGGGATCTGTGTTTCCTTGAGCCATTGTGTCTCCTTCATCTTCTCAATCTGGAAGAGTCCTTAGCTTCTCTGACACTTGAGGGTGCTACTGGGCTGCTCTGCAGAATGTCCCTTACTTGGGGCTGGACTGGCATCTCCTGATGATCAGCCTGATGAGCTGGTTGTAAGGATCACACATGGGCAGAGAAGGCACAGCCTGAGGCACAGAGTGTGTCTTATTAGCCTGGACTTCCGGGTTGAGGCAGGCGGTACTTGCTGCTCTTTCTCTACAAGTGTGAGTGTGTGAGAAAGAGAGAGAGACACTCAGGATGCTGCAGATGCCACTCCGAGCCTTGTGGTGACTCTGTCCCTGAGCCCTGCCCCCAGCCCTACTGTTCTTTGGCTCATAGAGACCACACAAGCATTTGGCTTCTGTGAAACTCTTGTTCAGCACACTGGGCTCTGGTTCTCAGCAGGCAGTGTCTTCTCACAGCACAGGGCATCCCCTCACCCACATCTGGGCATCTCTAGCGTCAACTTCTTCGAGCAGATGCTCAGGGTGCAGGAGCAGCCTCTGGTGTTCTCAGTAGCGTGGCTAAGTGGACCAGTGGCAGGAGACCATTTGGCATACGTCCTACAGTGAGCCCTGCTCTCCAGTGTCAGCACGCGTGTGTCTGGAGGGGTCGGGGCCGTACCTCCTGGGTTGCTCAAGGCTCATGGACAGAGTCACCACGCGTGTGTCTGGAGGGGTCAGGGCCGTACCTCCTGGGTTGCTCAAGGCTCATGGACAGAGTCACCACACGTGTGTCTGGAGGGGTCAGGGCCGTACCTCCTGGGTTGCTCAAGGCTCATGGACAAGCCTTGCTAAGCCACCTGCCGCACCTGCAGGGTTCTCTAACACGAATCTCAAACGGTCTTATTCATAAAAACAAACCTGGAGCCAGGTACTGGGGTGAACACTGAAAGATCAGAGAAACAGAACAGGCCACCGTCAGCCTCGCCTCGCCAGTTCCTCAGCTGATCTTGTTTCCTCAGACTGAAAGCTTCTGAGTCCTCACCCAAATGGATCTCAGTTGACCTGCTGCTAAAAGCCTCAAAGCTCAAAAGGGCTCTAGTTCCTGGTCCTCATGCCGTATCTACCTTTCTGCTTCCTGCCATCACTTCCTGGGATTAAAGGCGTGTGTCAACCATGCCTGGCTGTTTCCAGTGTGGCTTTGAACTCACAAAGATCTGGATGGATCTCTGCCTCCAGAATGCTAGGATTAAAGGCGTGTGTGCCATCATTTTCTGGCCTTTATGTTTATCTAGCGGCTGTTCTGTTCTCTGACCCCAGATAAGTTTATTAAGCTGCACAATATATTGGGGGACACAATATCACTATAAGTTCTTCCTTTTTTGGCGTGTATAATAAGTGTGTATGTACATGCATGTGTGTGTGTGTGTATTTATTTCTGCACATGAGCATATGTGTGCAAGTCCATAAGGGGTGTGAATGTCAGAGGACAACCTCATGGACATGATTCCTCAGGTGCTGACTGCTATATTTTTTTTTGAGATGGTCTCTCAGTGAACCCCAGGCATCCCACCTGTCTCGACCCACCCCCCCCACCCCCCCACCCCCGAGAGCTGGGATTACAAGTGTGAGCTACCCTGCCTGGCACTTTTTTTCTTTTCCTCCTCTTTTTTCATGTGTACATGTGTGTGATATGCATGCATGTGTGTTTGTGTGTCCCCATGTGAGTGGGCACCACATGTATGTACAGGTACACAGGCACAGGTGTGTGCATTCGCATCTGAAGGCCACAGGTTGATATTGTGTGTCTTTCTTGAGTGTTCTATACCTTATTTATTGGGACAGCCTCTGGCTTGAACCTAAAACTTGACAATAGAAGTCATGTATGCAGCCAGAGTGCTCTGGACATCTCCTGTTTCTGCCTCCTGAGCACTGGGGTTATAGATGGGGCGTCCTGGTCACCTGGCCTTTATGCTGACCATCCTCAGGTCCTCATGCTTGTATGGCGAAAGCTTTATCCACTGAGCCATCTCAGTGGGCACAAGCTAGAGTCATCAGAGAGGAAGGAGCCTCAGCTGAGAAAATGCCTTGATGAGATCCAGCTGTGAGGCATGTTTTCTTTTAGTCATCAGTGGGGGAGGGCCCAGGCCATGGTGGGTGGTGCCATCCCACCATGGTCTCTGAGCTAGCCATGGGAAGCGAGTCAGTAAGCAGCTCCCCTCCACGGTCTCTGCATCAGCTCCTGCCTCCAGGTTCCTGCCCTGTTTGAGTTCCTGTCCTGACTTCCTTCAGTGATGAACAGCGATTCTGAAGTGTAAGCCAGATAAACCCTTTCCTCCCCAGCTTGCTTTTTGTTCATGGTGTTTCATCGCAGCACTAGAAACCGTAACTATGACAGGGGCAGTACTGAGGGGTGAACTCAGGACCTTGCATATTCTAGGCAAGTGTTCTACCACCATTCTGACTATTTATATTTTATTTTTGTTTGCTTGAGACAAGGTCTTACTATGGATGTAGCCCTGGCATTGCGCGGAACTCACTGTGTAGACCAGAATTGCCTTGAATTCACAGAGATGCCCCTGGCTCTGCCTTCTGAGTGCTGGGATTAAAGGTGCATGCCACATGACTTCCATGGCATTAAACAAACCCACACCTGTGAAGCCACTGTGAAACCATTTCCATCTTCTGGAACCTTCTCTTCTTCCCAAATCGAAATTCTCCACTTACTAAACACTAGCTTCTCTCCCCTCCCTAGTCCCTGGGACACTGCCACACTGTGGTCTGCCGAGTGACTGTCCTAGGAACCTCCTGTGAGTGTGGATGGAGCTTCCCCTGTTCCCATGATGGACACAGGTTAAGGAGCCCTGGCTGGGGCCCCGGCTCATGGCTTCCTTTGACCCTGATGGAGGGAGTACACCAGCTTTCCCATGACCCGCCAGAGACCTTCGGCTTAGTGACACTCTCCTGTACCCCTGATGTCCTGACTCTTCTCCTCTGCTTCCAGGATGGTCCCATTATGAACGTATCACCCCCACCACCTGAGGAGACCAGTGGAGAGCCTCCAGGTGACAGGCGGGACCTCCCATGGGGTGCCACATTTGAGCTGCCCCAGATGCTCCTGGAGAGAGACAGGTGGGCACAGAGCCTGGGCAAGAGTGAAGGTACCAGGTCCTGGGTGGGGCCGAGGCTGTGGTTCTCAGGCGCTCTGCCGACACAGCGAAGCTCACCTCAGAGCCCATGGCCCCTCCTCCAGAGGCCTTCTCGTGTCCTCCTCCTGTGCTCGTCTTAAGTGAACGAGGTGCTGAGGAGGTCGCTCAGGGGGACAGGGCTTGCTTTGCCGGAGTCCAGTCCCCAGAACCTACATAACATAACCAGGCAGGATGGCACGTGTGTGGTACCATTTCTGTGATGAGGAGATGGAGACAGGCTGCCACCTTGGGGTTCACTGGCCCAGCCAGCCTCACCTGCTTGGTGGGTTCCAGGCTCCATTTCACAAAAGCAAAATGAACAGTGTCTAGAGAATGACAGTTGATAGTGTCCTCTGTCCATCACGCGCCGCAGAACACACATGCATATACACCTCCCCCTCATGCATCTGCACAGACATATGCACCCATACATGCATGTATACACACTTAAAGAATGGTAAGCTCACTACAGGAGGTACTGGCTACATGGAACAGTGGTGAGCTGAGGTATGTGAAGAGTCTGAGGCTGGAAATGGCCTTTTCGACTCCTGGGTGTCTCTGCCCTGAATGTGTTCAGTGCCGCTTAACCCTGCCCCAAAGCCTCCCTCCCCTCCTCCGCTGTTCTCGTTTCCTGCAGCACTTTCCAAGAGGAAAAGCCACACCAGCAAGGTAGATGCGCATCGGCTCCGTCTGTAAGTGGACAAGCTCACGTCTGACCCTTCTGTGTGACTGTCTTGTTGCTCAGGCTGCCTTAACAAAACGCCATATTCTGGGCAGCTTAAGCAACATGAGCTGTCTCACAGTTACAGAAGCTGGCAAGCTTAGCCTGCCAGAGGTGTGAGGGAGCCTGGTGAGGGCCTCTTCCTGGCTGGAAGATGGCTGCCTTCTTGCTACGTCCTTACATGATGGGGCAGGAAAGAGGGAGGGGGACAGAGCACAGAGGTGATTTCCATATCTTTTTTTAATTTGTTTTTGTTTACTGATTTTTTTTTCTGAGATAGGGTCTTATGTAGCCTTAAGGCTGACCTTAAGCTCACTATGTGGCGGACGATAATCTTGAACTTGTAATCTTCCTGCCTCCACCTCCCCAGTGCTAGGGTTATAGGCATATCCAATGTATGCAGATGGAGCCCAGGGCTTTGTGCATGCGAGGCAAGCACTGTACCATGTGATCAACAGCCCCAGCCTGTCCCCCTTGCAGTAACCAGGGACTGAATCTAGCCGGGCCCTAGCGTTTCACTAGAAACTCCAGACAAACTGATCCATGATCCTAGTCCCTCCCTGGGGGATTCTAGTCAGGTGCTCTTGCCAAGCTAGTTTGAGGGTACACTCCATTATGTGGAGAAGACATGACTTCCACAGTTAAGAAGCAGAGAGATGAATGCTGATGTTCAGCTCACTTTCTCTCTTTATTTAGTCCAGGACCCCAGCCCATGGGATGGTACCTCTCAGATTTAGGGTGGGTCTTCCTACCTCAATTAACCCAATCTAGATAACCCTTCACAAACAGCCTAGAGATTCATTTGCATGGTGAGTCTATATCCCATTAACTTGACAAACCAAGACTGAACATCATAGCTGTGCATCACTACCTTAGAGGACAGCACACGACCCACTACAAACCTGTGCTTCCCCCTGGATACCCAGAATAGGTGACCAGCATGGTCCCAGCCACAGCAACATAGCTGAGGCCAGCATCTTGCCCAGCACATGGACCATAGTGCTGTGGGCTGGAGCAGCAGCTGAGGCTGGATCCTAGCTGCCCAGGCTGTGACAAAGGACACAGGGGCTCCAGAGTGTCTCCTGTTTCACCCACAGTGATGGGAACAGGTCTTCAAAGAACACTCCATTGTGGAGGCTTGGAAAGCAGGACTCTCTTCTCCCTCCTCCAGCCCTCCGCATCCTGCTGACACCCCCCATGCTTGAGGTTGGTATGCAGGGGGCTAGCTAGAGGGAGGCCCCTCCCCAGTTAGACTGCATGGGGAGGGACTGCCTCTGGGGTCCCATGCTGTGACTGCAGTGACTGAGGGTGGCCTGTGGTTTCTTTCACAGAAGCCCCATGCTCTAGGAGCCAAGAGCCTGGTCTCCAGACTGCAGCCCACAGCTGGCTTGGAGCTGAGAACCCCACAGCCAGCAGGAGAGATGAGCAGCCCCCCTCTGAGTGTCCAGGCCCTCAAAGAGATGGCCCTGGGCACCAAGAGCATCGCCCTCATAGCAGCCAGCCGTCGCTGCAAAGTGTATGACAAAGAGGGCAGCTGCCTGGACTCCAGGGACCCCAGCCCTGCAGACTGGAGGTGGCCCCATGCCAGCCCCAGCAGGGACCGCTCTGTGGAGAGGAAGACAGGGAGGAACAGGTCACCCTCGTTCACCTGGAGCCTGCAACAAGTACGTAGATGTCTGTCCGGTTGCTGGGTGTGGCCGGGAGGGTAGAGGGGCGCTCACACTACCACACATGGTCAGGATCCCTGCACTTGAAGTAGAAGAAGAGAATGCCCACACGACACCTATATCCTTCACAGTGCCTGAGCGCACTGCATGACCCCCAAACAGTGTCTGCTTATGTTTTGTGCAGTTATAACCCCAGAAATGCAGCTCTGTGACCTGAGAATTTTTATGTGCTAATTCAGGTTAGTTAGTTAGTTAGTTTGTTTGTTTGTTTGTTTGTTTGTTTTCAAGACAGGGTTTCTCTGTGTAGCTTTGCGCCTTTCCTGGAACTCACTCTGTAGCCCAGGCTCGAACTCACAGAGATCCTCCTGCCTCTGCCTCCCAAGTGCTGGGATTAAAGGCATATGCCACCACCGCCGCCACCACCAGCGGCACTAATTCAGTATTAAATACTTTCTTTCCTTCCTCCCTCCCTCTCATCCTTCCTTCCATGGTACTAGGGATAGAACCCAGGACCTTGCACGAATTAGACAAAAACTCTACTTCTGAGCCACACCCCAGCCCCTCACTGGGAGATTCTAGGCAGAGGCTCTACCACTGAACCACACCCCAGCCCCTCACTGGGGGATTCTAGGCAGGCACTCTACCACTGGCCTATGGCCTCAGCCAGTACTTGTATTTTAATCTAAGGAAAGGGTCATTGGTTGGCTTTAGAAGAAGTCTGCTAAGTGGCATGTCAGAGTCAATCCTTGGGTCTACCACTACTGCCTCTTTCTGTGCTTCCAGTGTTTGGTATTGGTTAGTGACCGAGGGTCTGGCCAACCTACATCCACAGGGTATTTACTGACTTGAGAGTGATATGAGGACTGGGCATTGTAATGCAGGCTTCTAATCCCAGCATTTAGAAGGCTGTGGCTGGAGGGTTGTGAGTTTGAGGCCAGCCTGGGCAACATATTGGGACCCTGTGTCCAAAACTCTAAAACCAAAAAAATTGAGAAAGACAAAAAGCAAGCAAGCAGCTGATATGTTCAATATAAAAGAAGGGAAGTAGCAGAAATAAGAGAAAGGAGAGACAGAGAGAGAGAGAGAGAGAGAGAGAGAGAGAGAGAGAGAGAGAGAGGAGGAGAAGCAAGCTTTTGCTCTTAGTCACGAAGGCAGGAAGAACCCAGTGTCCCACTTGGAAGACAGGAGGGTTCACTTGCTTGGGAGTGTCTGCTTTCCTGTTCCACTCAGGCCTTTACCCGTGCAAGGGAGGGAGGGGCTGTACTCCATACGCTGCCCCGTGTGTCACACAGCCCTGAAAGCCCGCCGTAAGGGAGAGGGGGGGAGGCAGACTCATCTATCTGTTTGCTCATTTACTTGGGGCTGGTTCTGCTACTCGGGCACACAGTGGGTGTTTAATGAAAATGCCCTCGCATCCTTACACTCTGCCCTTCCTTCCATGTACCTTTTCCACACTGCAGACGACGGAGAAACATCAGCCCTCTACGGAACATCCATCCGAGAGCCAACTGTCCCCAGCACACCTCCAGCCACCAAAGCCATCAGGGAAGAGCTTTTTCCCTGCTGTCCCTGTGGCCTCCAAGATGAAACCCAGCCTCAGTTTTCACACAGGTATGGGTGTAGTTGGGGTTGTTTTTTTTTTAAGCTCTGTGGGAGTCCACCACCTAGCTCCCAAATAAATGCACGGAAACTGATTCTTACTTATGAATGCCGAGCCTTAGCTTGACTTGTTTCTAGCCAGCTTTTCTAACTTAACTTATCCCATTTCTCTTTAACTGTGTTTTTGTCTCTGGACTTTTTACCTTTATTTTATGTATCTTTCTTTCCTTCATACGCCATGGCTGGCCCCTGGCATCCTCCTCTTCTCCTTTTCTTGTTCCTCATTCTTCTTTTTTCAAGCCTAGATTTCTCCTCCTATTTATTCTCTCTGCCTGCCAGCCCCACCTATTTTTTCTCCTGCCTTGCTATTGGCTGTTCAGCTCTTTATTAGACCAATCAGGTGTGTTAGACAGGCAAAGTAACACAGCTTCACAGAGTTAAACAAATGCAACATAAAAGAATGCAACACATCTTTGTATCATTAGACTAATATTCCACAACATATGGGGGTCAAAGAAAGAAAGAAAATGTCTTCTGTATCTCCAGTCATACAAGCCAAAGACAGGGAACAGTGTGGCTGTCACCTGCTGTCTGTGCTTTTTGGCTTTTGTTCTTCTTAGTTTGATGAATTGATTGTTGGGTGGATGTGTCAGTGACCTGGAAAGTTAGGTCCATCCTTTCAGATCTGGACTCGGAGTTTACTTCTGTCTAGATATAAGCCAGTTGGGATGGATTTGAACTGGTGAGTGTTTGCCTCGCATGTGTGGAGTCCTTCTCAGCACCAGATGGTGTGTGGTGCATGCCTACAATCCCAAAACTTGGGAAGTGGAGGCAGGAGACTTCAAAACTCAAGGTCATCCTTGGCTACATAGTGAAGGATGTAGGCTGGGCTATATGAGACCCTGATTCAAATAAAACAGAGAAACTTTTTTTAAAATTTGTTTTGATAAAGGTTTTTCTGTGTAGCCCAAACTGGCTAAGATTGCCATCCTCCTGCCTCAGCTTCCCGAGGACTGGGATTGCAGGCATCACTGTTCTATTTATAGACGTGGAGTTCCATGATCACAGAGACACTTAGTCCATAATGTGCCACACGAGCTTGAGCAACCACGGAAAAGCCCAGCGCTGCAGTGCATATCTGCAGCCTCTGTCCTGGGGCAGACACGAAGCTCCTAGCCCAAGCAATGAGCTCCAGGTTCAGTGAGAGACCCTGTCTCAAAAAACAAAGTGGAAGGATGTGCATGGTGGTGCACACCTGTGATCCCAGGCGGAGGCCGCAGATCCCTGTGAGTTCAGAGCCCAGCCTGGTCTATGTAGTGAGCTTCAGGCCAGAAGGGCTACACAGTGAGGCCTCAAAAACAAACAGCAAGCAAAGGGTGCAGAGTGATGGTAAAAGACACCAACATTGACCTCTGACCTCTTCACCCATGCAAAAACCCACATGCACACACATGACAGAACACATCGGTGCCGCGTGGTCTGTAGAGAGTTATACTCTAAGCCTGTGATCCAACCCTCAGGAATCTTACACAGAAGGATCATGAGTAGCAGGCCAGCCTGGGCTATATACTGAAACCCTGTCTCCACAGCAAGCGGTGGCTGGTGAGGTGATGCATGCCCTTACCACCAACTCCTGGAAGACTGAGGCAGAGGGACTGAGTTTGAAGCCAACCCAGACTACCTAGGAAAATACTTTCCCCAAATCTCTCTCTTCCTCTTTCCCTCCTCTTCCTCGCTCCCTGCTGCTCTTCCTCCCCCTCCCTGTTCCCCACCCCCCCCACTAACCCCCCATTCTCTCCCAGCCCCCTGTGGAGCTGAGGTCCCAAGGAAGCAGACTCACGTCCTCCGCCCTCCGTAGTCTGATCTCCAGGCCTGGTAGGTCGTCCCGGCAGCTAACGCTTCCCATCGCTTGTTTCTCCTTCAGATGAAAACACACTTCATGTGCCGGAGGTCAGCTTCACCTTCCCCAGCGCCATGTGGCAGAGCCACGCAGCCCCAAGCCGGCCTCCCCTCCTGCCACGTGACATCCGAGGTCAGTGGCTGTACCTCCAAACCTGTACCCCCCGTCCTTACCCCACCGGCATCTTGGACACTCATGTCCCGTCTGTGAGAGAATTGGTAGAAGGGTAGCAGCCTCCCATACTCTCCAGGCCTCTGCTGCTTGTGAACTCTTTGGAGGACTGCAATATCCTCAGAAGACAGGGTTGGGAATGACCTAGGCAGCGAGTGGACAGCCTGGACTTGGAGTTGAGGCCTCTGTCTCCCTTGCCCAGCTTGTTCTGATCATCAGAGGAGACAGTGGGGACCAGGTGGCTTTCCAAGCTGACCTTGTCCCGGAAAAGTTTCCTGGCATCCCTGACGGAGCTCTTCACTCCCCTCCCATACATTTCCCCTAACTTTGAATGAGATGTCTGGTCCAGAGTGAATGGCTGGAAGCTGAGGGTCAAGGGTCAAGTGGGCAGGAGAGGGCCAGACGCAGGGGGGAGGGTTGGCGGGCTTCGAGGTTGTAGGGCACAACCTTGTAGCTGGGGATGAGATGCTAATAGAACACTCCTGCTCAGCGGAGTCGGTGGGTAGAAATGAGCTGGGCCAGGGTCAGGAGGAGGAGAATGGGGGATGTGTGTCTCAGGGCTCTATCCTGGGGAGGTGGCACCAGGGGACTCAAGCCAGGGATTAGGTGTCTGGTGGGCAGATGGGCACTCAGGTGAGTCCATTCCCTACCCACTGCATGTAGATCCTCCAGGTTCTTTTAAAAGTATTCTCGTTGGGGCTGGGGCTGTAGTTAACTCTATGCATGTTTGCCTTGCAAGTGTGAGGACCAGAGGTAGATCACTGAAATCCATACAACAAAAGCCCAATTGGGGCATGTGTTTATAATCTGAGGAGGCAGAGATAGGGAGGTGCCTGAGGTTCACTAGCCAGCCAGCCAGCCTAGGGCCCAAGGAACGACGTCTGGGAGAATACTCTGCCCTCTACAAATGTTTATTGTCCTGTAGACACACTGCACACACCTGCACACACATCACACACACAGGTATTATTATTTCATTGCATAACTTCAGCCCTAATTTATGATCTAGGATAGCACCTTCCCCAACCAAGTATATAGTCACGACATAGTCCAGGCTGGCCTGGAAGTCACAATCCTCCTCCCTCATTTCCTGAGGGTTAGGATGACAGTGCCGGGGGGCCATTTCATGCCCAGCTCACCCTGGTTTACTCCTCCAAAGCCAAGGCTGTTGTGGTTTGCTTAACTGAGCAAGATCCCAGCTGAGGCCTTCCAGGACAGGAAGTGCCCATTCTGCACGAGAGTCGACAGTCTTGGTGTCAGTCCTGAGGGTCGCAGCCTCGTCCCTCTTCCTCCCCATATGACTTCTTCTAGTTTTTTTTTTTTTTTTTCTTTTTTTGGTTTTTTGAGACAAGGTTTCTCGGTGTAGCTCTGGCTGTCCTGGTACTCACTCTGTAGACCAGGCTGGCCTCCAACTCAAAGAGATCCACCTGCTTCTGCCTCCCAAGTGCTGAGATTAAAGGCGTGCGCCACCACCGCCTGGCCCTATTTTTTTTTTTAACTTGAACCAAGAATGACTAACTCACCACGGGCTTTACTGGACCCCAGCTGTGAGGTTGGCCACATTAGTGTCCATGTTCATGTTGTCTTCATCTCAAATGGAGAAGCCAGAGCTACCCTGATCCCCTCCTGGCCTGGCAAGCATCCTCTGGCATCCTTAGTACCATCTTATCATCCCCTAAACCACCTCACAACCAAGCCTTGGATGAAGTCAAACATCCCTGGGAGATCGGATTACCAGGATTGTAGGGAGCAAGTGGGAGGTCCTACCTGCTATCTGACCTCATTTCCTGCTGCTGCATCCTACCCTCCCCCATGCTGCTGTTTGGAAGAAGAAAAGATTAAAGGGCTCTGGGGGAAGAGGTCTTCCCGGTGCTGACTGGTTAGCCAAGCATGCTGAGTGATGGAACCTGTATTATTGTGTCTTTGAGTGTGAGGGATAGGAAAGGGTCCACGTAGGTCCCCATCCTTGTTGCTTTGGCCAGAGCTGCTGGGCACGTTATCAAACAGAAGGCCCTGAGTGACCTGGGAGCAGGGAGGCCACATCAGCCTGCAGGCTGAGGAGAAAAAGACTTGGAGGTCACACATGATACCTGGAAGAGGACTCTGGTATTGATGAAGTCAGGGGCTGTCGTGTGTGTGTGTGTGTGTGTGTGTGTGTGTGTGTGTGTGTGTGTGTGTGTGTGTATGTGTGTGTATGTGTGTGTGTTTTCCAGGCCCTGTGAGTATTGAGCAGCGTGTGGCCACACATGGGGCTCAATTCTCAGTGTCTAGTGAGTGTTGGCTTCTCTTTCGTTGATCTGGCTACAAACTAAAGTTTCCCCTCACCCCAGGGTCTACAGACAGCAGAGGCCGGCGTCACAGCCCACTGCCACCCAACAATCCTCCCAAGCTCCAGGGTGGCAGTGCCAAGAGACCAAGGCGTCCTAAGTAGATGGCAGCAGGAGCTGGGGACCTGGAAGGCCGAGAGTCCTGGGGACGCCAACACTGGACCAGAGATGGAGAGTGGTACAGGACACAGGGATCACCTCCATGGCAAAGGACCTGTCCAAGACCCCCATTTTGTCTTTGGGCCTTTCTTGGATCATTACAGTTGCTGAGGATGCCCCCTGGGATATCCCTGGATTCCAATGACTGACAGCCCATGGCTCACACTCAGGCTGTAGGGGTCCCTCAGATGGGATGGAAGAATATGTCCCCATCACCAGCACTGAGCAGTCTGCAGGTGGTTCTGGGGGTGCCAGCACCAGGGGAGACAGGATGGCTCTTTTCCTCCAAGCTCCCACAAGCTTCCCAAGCTGTCAGCCATGCTGACAGGGGAGCTGACGGTGGTGGGGAGGCAGGAGGAGACAGCCAGGGCCCGTGAGCTCTGTCTGCTTTGCTTTTACTGGGACCTGCATGGGGAGGACCTAAGAGGCTTAGGAGTTTGGGTCTATTGATACGTTTTATTTGAGACAGGGTCTCATGTAGCTCAGGCTGGCCTTGAACTTGCAGTGTAGCTGAGGATGACCCTGAACTCTTGATTGTCCTGCCTTCCTCTCTCAACTTTTCAGATTATAAGCATGGGCCATCACACCTGGTTTATGTGGTGCTGGGGATGGAACCCAGGACCCTATGTGTGATAGGCAAGTACACACCCTACAAACTGCCACATTCCCAAGGCTTTCTGTCTTAAAAAAAAAAAAAATGGCGGGAAAAAGAGGACACAAAATTGAGTTCCACGTTGACAAGACACTGCCTTGTCTGTTTTTTGTGTTTGAATTTTGAGATGTGGGCAGGGTGGAGGGTAGAGGGCTAGGGGCGGGGTGATCAGGCTGAACAGGCCAGGAGAACACAGTAGTCAATAGATTGCTTCTGTGGTTCCTGCCTCTGCCTCTGCCCGAGTTCCTGCCCCATCTTCCCTCAATGATGGCTGACAGCTATCAGCTGAAATTAACCCTCTCCTGCCCAAGCTGCAATTGGCATGGTGTTTATCACAGCAACAGAGAGCAGACTGGGACGCTGCCCTTTATGACCAAGACAGAGGGACGGGAGCTAGGTGGACTGTGACTTCACCTCCTTAGGTGGCAGCCCCTTGACTAGGAAGTAGGTTTTAAACGTGTGTGTACCTACCTGGCCCAGAAATGTTGAGCAAATGCCACAGCTGGATGCTGGGGGTCATCCCTCCTTCCTGCTGTGACAGCTGCTGCCAGGGAAGCCATCACCCATTTGGATTTTTCCAAGCTGCTTGGGGAGGGGACTCCTATATTTGGGGGCTTTGCTGGGACCGCTGTGAGCCCTGTTGATACCCCCAACTGTGGTGAGGCGGTGGAGGGTGTACCGGCTGGTATCTCAGGCCCCTCAGGATCAGGTGCAGCGGGCCCCAAGCCCCACGCTGTGAACCTTCAGATGGGGTGTAAGGTGACTTGTAAGACTTTAGAGTCACAAGCAAACATTTCTGTTTGTTTGTTTGTTTGTTTTAAGACTGTTTTCTGGGTAGCCCTGCTTGTCCTGGGACTCACTCTGTACACCAGGCTGGCCTCGAACCCAGAGATCCACTTGCACAAACTTTTTAATTGTGAAGATGTTTCACAATGTTTATTAGGAAGAATGTCACTAACCCACTGGAGGCTTGAGCCTGTCAGTCATGCCTGAACTCAAAAAGAAAGTGGAAAGATGGCTGAGTGGGTAAAGGGCCTGCCATTGCAATTGTGAGGACCTGAGTTCAGATCCTCAGAGTCCATGGAAAAGCTGGTAACATGAATAATGTATGTCTGTGATCTCAGTGCTCCATTTGTGGGAGGGTGGGCTACAAGGGGGAGACAGAATTTCTGGAAATTTGTAAGCCACTTGGGGGGCATATACAGAATGAACGGGAAAACCCCGCTTTACACAGAGTAAAAGGCACGGACTGACCCCGGAGGTTGATCTCTGACCTCCACACATACCGTGGCACACAAGAAGTTAAAAAAAAAAAAAAAAAAAGCTGGGCAGTGGTGGCGCACACCTTTACTCCCAGCACTTGGGAAGCAGAGGCAGGTGGATCTCAGTGAGTTCGAGGCCAGCCTGGACTATAGATAGCAGGTTCTGGGGCAGTCAGGGCTACACAGAGAAACCCTGTACCAATAGATAGATAGATAGATAGATAGATAGATAGATAGATAGATAGATAGATAGATAGATAGATAGATAGATAGATAGATAAACAGATAAACAGATAAAGGGATGGATGGATGGATGGATGGATGAATAAAATAAATAAATAATAAATAATAAATAAATAAATACATAAATAAATAAATAAATAAATAAATAAATAAATAAATAAATAAAAAAAATAAATGGTGTGGGGATGTTGGTTCAGTTGGTAGAGTGCTTACATGAGGCTCTGGGTCCATCTCCAAGCATCTCCAAATAATAATGATGATAGTAATAATAGTAATTAATCATAGAGGAGGACGACAAAACGGAGGAAGGACAGGAGGAAGGGAGGAAGCAGCCTGTGGAGTCTCCTGGATAGGAGAGAAATGACATTTGTTTGGCCAATGGGCTATTTCTTGAAAAGTGAGCTCTTAATTTGGGGGTGTGTGCAAGGAGATGAATCCATGGGTCAAGAGGCATGCTGATGGCCTGAGCATTAGGTGGCAGATGGCTAAGGACCTCTCTGCCTCATTCCTGAGGACAAGGCACTGCACTGGGAAGCTGGAGGCTCACCCTAGACTGGCCTGGGCTGCCTAGGCTCTTGCACAGACGCGTGTCTGAGTCCATCAGCTTCTAGAACAACAAACAACCACCATGAGTTCTTTAGTTCCGGAGGCTGCAGAGTACAGGTGAGGGCCGAGATGCAGATGGGCTCTGGGGAGGCCTGTGTCTGGGTTACAGACCGTTGAGGACTTTGTGGTGGAAGGAGTTTGTGTGAGGTTGGTTTATGGGGGCACTAAGACCCCATTCACAAGGGCTCCACCCTCACGACCTCATCACCTCCCAGAGCAGTGAAGAAGGGATCCTCTCTCCCCAGTCCTCTCCAGCATTTGTTGCTAGTTCTTTTTTTATTATTATATTTAATATTTATTTTATGAGCATTGTGGCTAGAGTTGACTCAGTGGTTAAGAGCACTGGCTGCTTCTTCCAGAGAGCCTGGGATCAATTCCTAGCACACATGTGATGGCTAACAACCATCTGTAACTCCAGTCTTAGGGGTCCAGTGCCATCTTCCGGCCTCTAAGAGCATTGCATGCACATGGTGCACAGACATATATTCGGGCCAAACATACACATAAAATTAAAAAAAAATAATGAAAGTTCCAAAAATAATTCATGAATGTTTTGCCTGTGTACCATGTGAGTGTCTGGTGCCCACAGAGTCCAGGCAAAGGTTTCAGATTCCCCAGAACTGGAGTTAAGGATGGGTGTAAGCTGCCATGTGGGTTCTGGGAAGCAAGCTTGGGTCTTCTGCAAGAGCAGCCAGTGCTCTTAACCACTGAGCCATCTTTCTAGATCCATGTTATCAGTTTCTTCCTCCTTCTCCCCCTCCTCCTTCTTCTCCCCCTCCTCCCCCTCCTCTTCTTTTTGAGATAGGGTTTCTCTGTATAGTCCTGGCTGTCCTGGAACTTGCTCTGTAGACCAGGCTGGCCTCGAACTCACAGAAATCTGCCTGCTTCTGACTCCTGAGTGCTGGGATTAAAGGTGTGTGTTGCCTGCCTGACCTCAGTTCAGATTTCTTTCTTTCTTTCTTTCTTTTTTTTTTTTTTTTCAAAACAGGGTTTCTCTGTGTAGTTCTGGTGCCTGTCCTGGATCTTGCTTTGTAGAACAGGCTGGCCTTGAATTTCACAGAGATCTGCCTGGCTCTGTCTCCCAAGTGCTGGGATTAAAGACCTGTGCCACAGCGGCCCGGCCAGCTCAGATTTCTTACTGAGAGCCATTCTGGCTAGGGTAAGGTGGTATCTCAGAATAATATTAATGCTGAACCCTTTTTAAAATGGTTATTAATCATTTATGTCTTCCTTTTGAACACTGCCTGTTCATTAGCCCGTTTCTTTTTCTTTCTTTCTTTCTTTCTTTCTTTCTTTCTTTCTTTCTTTCTTTCTTTCTTTCTTTCTTTCTTTCTTT